AGATACATCTATTAATCTCGATTTATTCTACCAAAAAATTGAGATTGCACTCTCGAGTCGAGTGATAGTTATATAAGCAAATTATGATCCAATAACAATATCCTCTGATTATCGTTCTACAAGTCAACCCCCATTTGACTGTCAATATGTTGAAACTGGCAAAATGACCGTTTTGCCCTTCAACATGCATTACCCTCTAAATCTCATTTTCATACGGCAAATTCGCTGTGATCAAATCACAATGTAAAGTCCAACGATCTCATCGTCGACCTACTAAGCTCGGATTCAATTTGCCTAGGAAAATACCTTAGAGTGACGATCGTCTCATCTCAATGATTAATGGATTCCAATATTGTAAGTATATGATCTCTAATTGTTTCGGCCCGATTCCCAAAGCACCGAAATCAATCTTCTATTTAAGACTTCACTCATTGGTACTTCAAAGAACTTGAACTAGCAATCAAAGGTATATTACTCACCCAGGATTTAGGTGACATGTTTGATAATCAAGTAGAGTCTCATTTCAAACGGTCACAAATGAGTCAACTACGCGGTCTCGTTCAATGTGCATCGAAACACATTATTGTTCCTATTTCAAGATATAGACAAATCTTAATAAGAACAATACAATCTTATCAACATAAAGCGTCCAACTTTATGAACTGATTGTGAACGACATAATTTTGATCACATCACAAATTGTGTCTTACTATACCCGATCCATCGAGTATACAATTTGTGACGTCCATTATGATCATGGAACCTTAGACAATCACTTCAAATTATAACACGCAAATAAACGAACGCAAATTCATAATGTGATTTTACAGAACATTACTCGAAGAATGACCATCAAACTAACACGAGTCTTATCATTTGAAGTAATGCATGATTCGGGCTTGGAGTCCGCAATCAAATCAATGAAATTTTGTGGCTCGAGCTCTTACTTAGGGTCTTTCCGCTCTGGTTCGATTTCCTCATTTGGGTCCTCCTTAAGCTCTTCCTCTAGGTCCTCATTAAGCTTTTCCTTTAGCTCTGGTTTTGGCTCAGGCTCGAGCTTTCGCACTGAACCCTGTTGTCTGTCATTTTACAATATTATGATGTCCTTACAGTATCCCTTGAAATCAATCATATTTGAATCTTCTTGCAAATATAGTCCATAATCCATATCTCTCACGAAATAAGCCACGTCTCTCCATTGAGGCCACATAGCGCTTATAATATGATATATCGAGAGGACCATCCCTTTATTATACCCAAACGACCTTGTTTGCTCCCACTTAAAAAGGAAATCTTCAACATATTCAACAAAGGTTCGCTCCCATCTCACTTCATAATTTATGTAGTTCTCAATGGCCATTTGAGTGCGATGAAGGTATGTTGGGCTATTCCTAGTCATCCTAATTGTTTGTCAAATCCTAATCATGGGACAAGTGTAATTTCAATTTTGCTTAATCTATTAGTGATAGTATTATTTTATTCGATTCTCACATAAACAATATTCATATCAAATGTGAAAAAAAAAGGAAGACCTTTTATTTTATCTTATTTTAAAATTTTTGAAGGGTAATATTTGTTTTAAAAATGAAAGTTTAGAATTTAAATTGTTATGCATAATGCTCATGTTTTATATTTCACGTATCGTAAATATTTATGTGTTTTCCTTTAGCTTTTGATTGATGTTTTAAAAAAAAAAATTATCAATTAGAAAATTTATATTTTAAGCGATTTCACATCTCACTTATTGTTTCAATTTTCTTGAATTACATACTCGCAAAATTGAAAGACTTTATTGAAAAGACTTGTACTGCCTAAGAAGAGTTTGGAATTTAAGGGGTCCACTTATGACCCTCCTCCTGATCTAGAAGCTTATTGGTTGTGTGATATTCAAATCAACAAGATGAAAAACAATATTTCAAACTTGGATTTAAGAAAATTAATTTTTTTATGAAACCACTATTTTGAGAAAATCCTATTTTATTTTTTAAAGTCTTAAACATGTAATGAGATGAAGAATCCTTAGTACACAACGCTCACTACTTGACCACTCTCCAAATGATCTCAAATATGAAATGTAATGTCATATTTTTAGTAGGATTATGAATCATCTTGCTCCATACTATGAAATGTAAAAGTATGTTCACCTCGCATAATTTAATAGTCATTTTTTCCCACGTTTGATATGAATATTGTTTATGCGAGTATTGAATAAAATAATATTGTTGCCAATAGATTAAGCAAAATAGAAATTATACTTGTCCCATGATTAGGACTTGGCAAATAGCTGGGATGAATAGGAATAGCCCAATGTAACTTCATTGTGTTCAAATGGCCATTGAGACTCACATAAGTTTTGAAGTGAGATGGGAGCGAACCTCTGTTGAACATGTCGAGTATTTCTTTTTTTAAGTGGGAATAGACAAGATTGTTTGGATATAATGAGGGGACGGTCCTTTCGATATATCATAATACGGTCTCAATTGTAACGACCCGGGTCTCTGTACTTAAGCCATTAGCTTAAGTACTGTCCGCTTTGGGCGGGCCTTGCGCCCACTTACCCCTCACGACTTTTTGTCGTGTCCCCCAGGGTTCGAACTCATAACGTTTTTCTTAAGTAAGACTTAAGTTGAATCCTGATATCAATTGGGCTCGAGAAAGTTAGGGGGTACCAAATCTTGAATGTTGATTTTCTGGCCATAAAAAGACGTTTAAAGGCTAGTTAGAGGCATGATTTCATCAAGGAAATAAGGTTTCCATAGATAGACTGAAGAGCAAGTGCCTATATTCCTCTCTGGAGTTACTGGCGAGCTTATTTAGTTGTGGGGGATGAAAGTAGAGAGCTAACCTAAACACAAGAAAAGATCCATTGAAAGAAGAGATTCGGGGAGGAAATGGGAGGAGTGAGTACAAATAGTGACTGTCGCGTAGTAAAGAGCGGTATAGCCCAATTGGTACTAGGATTCAACTTAAGTCTTATTTAAGGAAAATGTTATGAGTTTGAATCCTAGGAGACGCGACCGAAAGCCGTGAGGGGTAAGTGGTCGCAAGACCCACCCAAAGCGGACAGTACGTAAGCTAACGACTTGGATACAGAGACCCGGGTCGTTACAAAAAACGCTGTCAATTGGTACCAGAATTTAACTTAAGTCTTATTTAAGGGAAATGTTATGAGTTCGAATCCCGGAGGACGGGACAGAAAGTCGTGAGGGGTAAGTGGGTGCGAGGCCCACCTAAAGCGGATAGTAAGTAAGCTAACGGTTTGGATACAGAGACCCAAGTCGTTACAAGAAAATGCGCGTAACTACCCGAGTCTCTGTACCCAAGCCGTTAGCTTACGTACTGTCTGCTTTGGGCGAGCCTTGTGCCCACTTACCCCTCACGCCTTTCTGTCCTGTCCTCCGAGATTCGAATTCATAACATTTTACTTAAATTGAATCCTAGTCCCAATTGACGAGTAAGTGGGTATAAGGTCCACCCAAAGCGGACAGTACGTAAGTTAACGGCTTGGGTACAGAGACTCGGGTCGTTACATCAATGAAGAGACGTGACTTACTTCATGAGAGATATGGATTATGGGCTATATTTGAAAAAAGATTGAAATATGATTGATTTTAAGAGATACTGTAGGACATCATAATCTTGTGGAACCACAAACAACAAGAGCTAGCGCTAAAGCCTAAGCCCGAGCCAAAACAAGAGGAAGAGCCTGAGACCCAAAGGAGGAAATCGAACCAGAGCCGAAAGACACCGAGCAAAAACTTGAGCCACAAAATTTCATTGATTTTATTACGGATTTTAAGCTCGAGTCATGCATTACTTTGAATGATGAGACTCCACCAGAAGACTTTTAGGACTCATAGAGATTTGAAATAAATATTTACTTATATAGAAAACCTTTATTTATTTGATATTTTTTGGAAACAAAATACCATATGTAATGATTTAAAATTTTTTAAAGTTTTTTCCGTCATTACAAAGACGACGACGACGACGACGACGACGACTATTATTATTATTATTATTATTATTATTATTATTATTATTATTATTTTGTTATCAAATATTTCTAAATTGAAATTTCATTAGCATTAAGAAAATGGCAAAACAACAACGAAACCAAGTTACAAGTTACAAGTTACATTCATGAGGGAATTGTTGAGGACGATACAAAATCTAGGTAGACAACAAGCACAAGCTGGTTCCAAAATACAAACTCTAACAACACCAATTCAATTGTTGAACAATTTCGTCACTATAAACCCCCAACCTTCAATGGCATGGCAAACTCACTAGTAGCTAAAGACGCTCTAAATACTAATAATATGTTTAAATTATAAATAATGAAAATCAATAATAAACAAATAAGTAGAATTTATAATTTTTTTTAAAAAAAATGTGAATAAAAAGTGATTTGAGTGTTTATAAAAAGTTTTTAAACAAGAGCCAAACATTAGTTATGCATTTGGAATTAGACTTCCCAAAGTCTCGATGTTTTAAGTTTCGCCACTTTGATGTAATTCAAGCTATTTGATGAAAATTAAAATCAGATTTCTAGCTTATTTTAATAAAAATTATCAAAATATATGGTTAAAAAATTATGGATAGCATAAAACATGTGATTAAAATTAATTATAGACTTTAATTTAGATTAAAATCTTGATTTTACCACTTAGGTATATCATTCACTCGATTTATGGATGAATTTTTCACCGTTGGAATAAGAGCTTCATGAACAAACAAAAACATAAGCACATAACCTTCAAAACGCCTTGGCACATGTTTCCTGTTTTAATTAGCTCCGAGCTCAAGCTGGTTACAACTTTCAGTGAAACTATACAAATAGACACCATTGCCCCTCCATTGTCATAAAATTTTCAGTTAAAGAGTGACATTCAAATTCAATAATACATAAAACAAAACAAAAAAACAAAAAGAAAAAAAAAAAAAAGAAAAAAAAAAAAAAAAAAAAAAAAAAAAGAAAAAGAAAAAGAAAGAAAGAGTGAGGAAATTATGGGAGTTCAAGATAGATAAATTGCATTGCTCAAAAAAGTACAAATAAACACAAGAAAACTTCACGAATTCCAGGCAGCAACCTAAGATGGCGATCCTTAAAGCAAATAACTCCTAGCTTAAAAAGAGGCCGGACTAAGAAGTCAGTTCATCTCTCTTCTAATAGCTTATCATTTAGAACTTTTGAAAGCCCTAACGCAGAATTGTACTGACAACCGGAAATGAAATATTTGATGGGCTATGACAAAGTGGGGATAAGAAGACAAGCCTGCTGGCAACACGCGCATAGACAAAGAAAGACAGCTGCACAGCAGTTGAATATAGTCATTAGCGCTTCTTCTTGCTCCCCTTTGGGCCACTGGATTTTGATGGAGTTGCGACCAGGTACACAAACAGAACCACAATAGAGACCACAGAGATAAGGGGGCCATATTTCACCAACAGCTTCTGCAGAAAGGAAGTTTATTGTAAGCAGAAAATATAAAATTTAAATATTTACTTCAGTAGCTGCAGCAATGGTTTTATCTTCTGCTGTTTACTTATTATTATTAGCTAGAATGATCTTGATGCAGATACTTTGATGGGCTTTCCTAAAGGAACAGACAACTAGCAAGAATGATACATACCTTAGCCTGTAAGATTTCAGATGCAACCACGAAATAATTCCATGCAAAAAGAAAAAAAATGGCAAGGGTTGTTAGTGAACATAGCACTAAGTATACTGAACAATGAACACGTTTAAATATATCTACATCAAAGCTTACCCACTCAAACTTCTTCTCAGGAGGCCTATCTGCTAGAATATCTAGTGGCAGGATTGGAGTTGAGTATGCTTCCTAAAATATAGACAGTCAAAAGATTGCACAACACGTCGAAATGACATTGACATTAAGAAAGCATACACAAATGACATAACTCTTGTGACAGTGCCAAACCTGTAAAGCAGCCTTCGTGGGGACACGGTATGTGATAACTGCTGGTGCTCCATAAAACATAGTTTTGGTTTTGGCTTCCAATTCAAAGGAATGTGACTGAAGAGCCCCCCTACAATCATCCAGATTAGCATGATAAAGAGATTATTCGCAGGCAGACTTACTGAAGGCGTAGATCGAAAAAGGAAGATCAACAGCATGAACCCCGGGGGGGTGGGGGGGTGGGGGTGTTCATTAAATTAGGACTCACGCATCAAGCCTTTCCCACGACGTTGAAGTGTTACCAGAGACGATATCAAATATGTCTTGGGTCCAACCACCATCATTAAGGGTTACATCATAGGCAGTCCTGAAATTGAGTACACGTTGTAACACAATCCCAGAATTACAATAGCATATACAAATACATTGTAAGAAAAGAAATTCATCTTTTATATGAGAGCCTCATCACCAACAGTAAAAGTAACAGTTATCATTACTAATGGGATAAGCCCGACAACAAAACAATAACTCCATAGGTTTCTAAAAAGCACAAATTTCTATGATTTTTGATCAGGGAACGTTCTCAATTTTGTTCATGCTATTCCATTGATATAAAAAAGTGATTATAAGCTGGCAACTTAGCAGTTGTTAAACATAATTTAATGTGGTAAAGCAGGTAGAGTTCCACAGATTTTGTCAAAATTATATAAAACAGAGGCAGAAGTGAAGATGATCAGAAGCTTCAAAGATGTTAGTTAAGCTGCTGAATTACAGAATAAACCAATTTACAGACCATAGATGAAAACAAAGGCGGAAAGGCCCCTGTGATGTGTACTGTGAAAATCACATAGCAACTTTTGAAGAATCTATACTAGGGAAATGAATTGAAAACAGAGAAACCACTGAACGCTTTCTTACAGACACAAACTGAAATCAAGTTAAGAATTTAGCAATCAACTCCAATGGATAATCTCAAATAATTACTGATCTAGCTTTAAAAGCTTTCCATTTATGATAGAAGCAAATGAATTCCATGCATTTAAAGCATCGCAATTTCTCCCTCTTAAAGTTGTTTATTATTGCAAAAAAGGAAAAAAAAAAAAAAAAAAGAAAAAGAAAAATAATAATAACAAGAACATCGTAACTAACTTAACTTAATAGTTACATTCAAGTATGTCAACAATAAAAACATAAAATCAATTCAAATTTCAAATGAGCTCTCATGCAGCAAAACGAAAAAAAATAAAAATTAGGAATAACAAAAATAAAGGCAGATCAATTCCTCTTAAGGAATTTAAAGGAACTCAATTTCCCTCTTTAAGTCATTAATTATCACAAGAAAGGAAAAATAATAATTAAACAACAAAAAATCCTCGGTTCGGTAACTGACAGAATACAATAACTACAATCAAATTCGTAAAACACAAAATTAATCCAAATTTCAAATCAAACAATAAAAATATTATAAATTAGGAACAATAAAAAGGAAGATCTAAGTAAAAGAGATGGAATTTGACTATACGTGGATCCTTGATTGTAGACATCAATGGAAACAGAGACACGTTCGGAGCCCGATTTGAGCCTGGTGAGCTTGGCTTTCTTATTGGCAATTATGAATGGGCCATCTAAGCTGGCAATCGTCGATGATGCCAACAACAGAGCCGCCAGGACACAGATCACAGACCGTCCGATCCAACCCGCCATTGCTGAACAAATTCACCAGGTTTTGCTGATAATGATGACAAGATAGGGTTTGCGAATGGTAATTTATTTAGCTCCCGTTTTTTCCAGGTAATTTGACCACTTAAAAAAATGGAAAAATATCTCAAAATACGATATATCTTTTAGAACAGACATAGATATGATAACAGATATTGATATTATAAATTCTCAAACATTATTAGACTTTGAAGAATTATTTAAAAATTTATGAAAAGACCAATAAAAAATAGATTACCACAAGCATATAAAAAATTAGTTTTTAACCTTACATTAAGATTTTATATACGCTTAATAACAAATAAATTAACTAAAAAAAAAAATAATTAAAAAGATATTATTTGAAGAATATAAGCATATATATATATATATATATATATATATATAGAAGAAATCCAGAGTGAAATAGATTTCATAGTAATCTGGAAAAAAAAAATTATGGAAGTCATAAAAATAAATAATTATTATCAATGTATTGAAGAAAAAGGATGTTATATATTTTTCAACCCTATCTCTAATAAATTAAAAATAATAACATTATATGTAACTAGGAATTTACCTAGAGAAATAAAAGAACAAATATTACATAAATTAATTATAGGATTTATCAAAGATAGATGTACATATGAAATAATTATCGAAGTATTTGAAAATGAATTATATTATAGAGAAATATTTGAATCATCATAAAAATATAATGAAAGAAACTAAAAATATTTTAGAAAGAAAGTTAAGAAGAATAAGATTAATAAATAATAAAATTTTAGATTAAATAATGATTAATACTGGCGATATAACTAAAACTCAAAAAAACAAATATTAAAATTAAAACAAAAAAGGTATTAAGAAAAGGCAAGGTATTATGAAAAATTAAAAGAACTAACAAATATTGAAGTAATAAAATAAAAATATGATAAAATGATAAAAGAGTGTAAAAATGCTGAGTACATAGCATTTTATTATTGTCAATCAAAAAATTGATAAAAGAAAATGTCAATCAATGAACATATGGAAGAATTAAAACATTTAATAAGAACATTAATGAATGATGTACAAGAAATAAAGAATGAAATAAAAGAAGTAAGAAATGATATAAATATATTGAAACTCGAAGTCAGAAAATTAATAGAAAATGAAGAAAAGAATAATAGAATAGATAAAAAATTTATAGAAAAAGAAATAACCAGAATAGGGAAAAAACATATTGAAAGAAAAAATATGATAATAGAAACAGGAAGCATGAATGATGAGTTTAGAAAAAATATATTACCTAAAATATTAGAAGAGGAAGAATCTAGAGAAAAAATGTTAGGTAAACAGAAAATTGAAGAAAATCAAGACAAAGAAAATGAATGAAGAATTAGATTTACTTATAGATAATTTTGATCATTTAAACTTAGAAAGTATAGATGATGAATATCAAATCTTAATGAATACTAGAGGAGGACCTAATCCCATAGGGACCTCTAAATAAGAATCAATAGATAACCAAATAGACAATTTTATGATAAAATAAGAGAAAAAAATGTCTAAAGGAAATAAATACAGTAATAGATTTGAATTAAATAATAATTATGATAAACTCGTTAATCATGGAGGAACAAAATTAGACTTAGATTGTAAAATAGACACTAAGAAAGCCTTAATAATTTGGGCAGATTCAATGATATTATTCTTTTTATATAATAAAGATGATACATGGGAAAATACTGAAAGGAGAATAGATTTTTTAATTGCATCTTTTGAAGGAAATGTTAGAAATTGGTGGGAAGTAATTAGTAGTGATACAAAATCATTAATAAAAAAAAATGTACAAACAGAAATAATAAAGTCAGATAAACTAGGAATAGAAAGATTAGTAGAATATATTGCAAATAAATTCTTAGGAGAAAATTGGTTAAGAAATTATGAAAAAGAAGCAATACGGGAAAAAGATAATGCAAGAGTTAAGTTAATTAATTTAACAATTTATGATATGTGTAAAATTAAAGAATATACTTGTGAATTCAAGGATTACTATTATACTCAATTTTATAGTAATGAGAATCAAAAAGTATATCAAGATATGTATTACAATAAATTACCAGGATCATTGGGAATATATTTTAAAATAAAATTTGAAAAATATATTAAAGAAAATATAGGAATACCTAGAACACTAGGATCAAAAATAAAATTCTTGTTTGAAAGACTTTCATATATATGTCAACAAAGACAATTATTGAAAAAATTAGGAAAATTAACTAGAATATGTTGTGAAAATATGGAAAAACTACAAGATGGGGATGTAATTCTGAAAAAAGAAATAAAAGAAAGTATAAAAACAGAAAATTTAAAAAATATAGAAATTTTAAGAAAAAATACATAAAATCTGGAAGGAAATATTATAAAAGAAAAAATAATATACAGAAAAATAAACCTTACAAGAAAGATAAAAAAACAATGTAAGTGTTGGAATTATATGGAGAAATAGGTCATATAAGTCCTGATTGCACAAAGAAAAAAGTGAAAATATTACAAAATGATTATTTTGAAATAGAAAGTGAATTAAGTGAAATATCTGATATTGAACATTATAATAATCAGGAAGTATTTATAAGTGAAGCAGATTCAGAAGATTATGGATCAGAATCTAAATACAGAAATTGAAGAAATAGAAAATAATAACGTAGAAATCCAAGAATATGAGGGAATAGAAGGTTATGGATTAAAAGTAACTTTTGATAATAATAAATTTAAGAAAATACTAAAGTTATCCTTAGATTTGAAAATAGGAAAATGAGAAATTCTAGATAGAATATGGAGAAAAAAAGAATAGCAATAAATGAATACTATAAGATTGAAAAAACTATAGATGTTAGGACTACTCAAGGAACACACAAGATAAACCTTTTAACAAAAAGTATAGTATCAGAATTATTATCAAAAATAAGTGAAAAAAACATAGTGAAAAAAACCCAATATGTTTATTTAATAGGAATACAAATAATGTTTAAATCCTTATTTAGGGAAGGAATAGATTCACCATTAATTGTAAGTTTACATGATGAAAGAATTATAAATTTTGAAGATGGTCATTTAGGAACTATAGATGGAAATTTAGCATATCAAAAGTTAATATTTACTTGTTACCCAAAATATTGTGTCTTATTGAAAGATAAAAACTTTAATGAAGTCTTAGGATTACATTTCAAATTACATAGAAATGATATAATGGAACCAGGAGACCAAATTATGACTATGGAATATAGGGCATTATATACATTTACTAATTCTAATTATGGGAATATTTATTCTAATAAACCATACATAGAAATTCATAAGGAATGTAAGGATATTAGTAAAATAGTGGAACCAAACAAACAAATAAATCTTATTCCAGAAGAATATGAATTTAATATAACTAAAAATAAGCCTAAAATAACAGAGTTAAGAGAAGAAGAAGATTATAAAATAACATTTCACAATGGAAGGTTGATAAAGAAATCAAAAAGTCTTAGACTACCTAATAAAAAAGAATATTTGGGAGAAACTAGTGGTATATAAGAAATAAAACCTCATGAAAATATTGGAAATATGAAAATAGAAGGAAAACATTTCAACGGTAGGAGGTATATAAAAGGACCAAATATATTGATAGATACAGGAGCTGGTGAATGTCATATGACTGCAAATAAAAATGAAGGATTAATGACTTACAAGATAAAACCATATGAATACAGGAATTTTGATGGACAACTATATATTACAGAATTAAAGGTAAAGATACCAATAAAAATAGGTGGGATTGATCTTTTAGTATCATATTATCTGGATGAAAGTATGGATATTGAACCTCATATATTATTAGAATGAGTTTCTTAAATGAATTAGAAAATTATAGTATAAAAAGAGAAGGATTATATATAACTCATAAAGGATAAACTACATTATATAAAATAGAAAGTGGATGAATAATCAAATAAACTTTCCATTGGCAGTATATATACAAGTTACTATAGTAGGAACAAACATAACAATTTGTGCCTTAATTGATACAGGAAGTGATATAACAATTTTTAAAAATTTATTAATAAAATCATGGAATAAAAATAGTAAAATAAAAATAATAGGAGTGACCGGAGAAAGCACTCAAATAATTGATAGTGCTGAAAAAGTTAATATAATACTTGGTAGTAAACAAGTTATAATAAATAAAGTATATAATTATAATAACCTAGAATGTGATATATTATTAGGAAATGACTTTATCCAACAATTTCAATACTATAAACAACATAATTACATGATAATGTTACAAACACCTTGTGCATATCTATTAAAAATATCAAGAGAACTTAGATCTTACAGAGTTCAGCTAGCCTAGCGTGATGATAAATGAGAAAAACGACCAATAGTACAAGATGAACTAAAAAATAAAAAATTATCATATAAAAAGATCCTAAAAACAGAAATAGAAATAAGTATGGAAAAAAATCATAGAACAATTAGAAAAAATTTATGAAGAAAATCCATTATTATTTTGGAAACCATATCATCCTAAAGCTAAAATAGAATTAACAGAAAATGTTATAATAAGAGTTAGACCAATGATGTATACCTTACGGGATATGCAAGAATTTAAAATTCAAATAAAAGAACAATTAGAACAAAAGTTAATTAGACTCAGTAATGGACCTCGTAGTAGTCCAGCTTTTATGGTTATGAAACATTCTGAGCAGATTAGAGAAAAGCTAGAATGGTAATAAACTATAAGGAATTAAATAAATATACTAAATTTGATAGTTACGTTTTACCAAATAAAGAAGTCCTAATAAATCTTGTAAAAGGAAAACAATATTATTCCAAATTTGATTGTAAATCTGGATTTTGGCAAATAAAAATGGAAAAAGATAGTATACAATATACAACTTTTAGTACACCTCAAGGAAAATATGAATGATTAGTTATGTCATTTGGTTTAAAAAATGCACCACAAATATTTCAAATGAAAATGGATAATATATTCAAAATGTTTAGTGATTTTCTTATTGTTTATATAGATGATATACTAATATACTCTAATAATAAAAAAGAACATATGATTC